GTTTTTTGTGAACGTACATGGAATAGAGGTTGTGGCGACGTGTTGTCATCATGGGCATATGACCGTGAGAAGTAGGAGTTTAGAAGCTCACAAATTATTTTAGGGTCAGTAGCAGTCTCACCATTTTCTAAGATGAATTGTATATCTGTTTTACGAGAGTTTAGCCTTTTGCGATAAAGCTTACAGATTGCAGTGTATTTAGAGCTATCTTTAAGGGCTGCACTTTCTTGTCTGAGTAGAACGTTGTCGTTATTTTCTTTCAATCTGAGATAAATGTTCTGTATATTTACAAGACACGAGAAGTCATTTTCTTTGTAGTAATGTCGGTGCAGCTTTCGCAGCTTAGCCTTTACTTTTATAGGAATGAAATTCTTTATGTTTTGTCTTAGGCTCTCTTTACATTTAGGAACAAGTTTATCAAAGCATATAGTTACATTCTGGTAAAAGGCTATTAGGATAGTGTCTAGGTTGCTACTAGAAAAGAAAAGGTCCCAGTCTAAGCTTCTAATGAAGGAGTGAAATACATCCCACCTAGCTTTTCCGAAGCACATGAATGTCTTGCGCAGGGTAAAGCATTTTGATGAGTGAAGCTTGGTATCGAGGGCGCAGATTATTGTGTTGTGGTCACTACCAGGAAATGGGTGGCTGATGTCTATGGTGGATAAGGCAATGTCTTTCAAGAAAACCAAGTCCAGTATATTGTGGTTTCGGGTGGGCCTTAGAATACTTTGTGTCCACCCACATAACTCAACAGCATCTAAGAATTTGCTGTAGCGGGGAGGAGCACTGATGGGCTCCCATGAAACTTCAGGCATGTTAAAATCCCCTCCGATCACTTTATAAGTAAAGTTTAATTTCGAAGTGTAACGAAAGGCTGCAGTTATTTCACTTAGCAGTTCACTGTCATGGTTGGGTGGGCGATAGATGCAACCTAATAACAGAGTTTGCTGTTTATTTATGTAGAGTGTCACCCATAATGTATCGCATATATTAAGGTTAGGGTCATCGTAGTGCACAGCTCTGCACTCAGATTTAACATAGATAATGCATCCTCCACCCCGCCCAACTGATCTGTTCTTCCTGAAAAATGAGTAGCCTTCACAGTGAAAGAAATCATCATTTATTTCACTTGTGCACCAAGCTTCAGTGATCAATAGTGCTGTAGGTTGGCTAATCAGTAGCAGGGATAGGATGTATGCCATCTTGTTTACAGCTGACCTGGCATTGATAAGAACTATGTTAGGATTAGCCGAGTCATATCTTAGGATTTTAGCTATGTCTTGAAGTAGCTGGTGGTGAGATTCAATCATAGTGTCCTCAGACGACAATGAAATGTCTATGCCTGTAGATGCCCTAGGAAATCTAGAAGTGCAGAGGGGGTGAATTAAATTTTCGTTTTCATGTAAGTTTGAGCGTAAAGAAGATTTGCTGTCAGAAGAAAAGGAGACAGAGGGTTGTTGAAGGAGAAGAAGGGAATTACCAGAGTCATGTAGGGTGAGCTCCAGGCAGTAATTAGACATTGCTGTATCAGCCGTTATATCTATATTGGGGGGCGAAACCTGTGGAGAGTGGTGAGCATTTGTAGTATGTTCGAGGTCATGTTGTGAACCTGTATAAAAAATGGTAATGTCGTTTCAGCAAAACTGTTGATCGGTGGGTAGTCAGCCCTGTTGGGTGTAGGCATGTAAATAGGTGGAGGTGGCCTACCAAGCAAGCTCAACTTATTCGAATTGTTGCGAATTACGCCACCACTATTCGACTTCCTATAGTTAAGTGTATCAATGTTTTGGTTTGTATTGGTGCGAGGGTTTACTTTTTTGAACAGGTAGCTACGAGGTTCGGGTTCTGTTTTGCGGTTTTTGTACCTGTTGGTTTTGTGGATATTTGTTTCTGGAGAGAGGTGTGGTATCGTGCTGTCAGCATGTGAATTAGTGTGTGACACTAGTCTCTTATTCTGCGTTGTCTTTGTAGACGAACTGGTAGCTGCATTCTTCAACTTCCTGGAATTAAGACTACTTGAATTGGTGAATACTGGGTGTGATGTACTGCAGTTTGTCACTGGGGTACAGGGATTGTTATCAGAGGAATCTAAATCTACGGTCGATTTCTTTCTTAGTGTTCGGCTATACACTGAACTATTTTTTGACCTTATATTTTCAGGCAAGTTCGTTTCCGAATACGGTGTGCTTTGTATAGAAAGATCCACACCCTTTTGCTCTGCCTCAACAGAAGTGTGGGTGCCCAGGGGTGTTGTAGAGGAGCTGGGATTTGCAGTTTTAGAATAAGTCATTCTTTGGATCGGTGTCTTGTCACGAGCTAATTTAATCGTATGGTAACGTGTATTTTTCAGTAGTGTTTGCCTACTGTAAAAGATGTCAGCATTAGAGGACGAGTCAAATTTCAACACAAGTGGGCAAGATTTATTTTTATGAGACTTTCTAAGTCGATGGCAGCTGCACGAGACGTTATTCATAGAGCACGCATTCAGAATAGTGCTTTTGACCTTGTTTACCTGTGCATTATCCGGTATATTATACACGATTATGTTCTTCTCGCGCACTACACGTTGATATACTTCAGTTGCAACGTAGTTTATCAGGTTTGCGGTTTGTGGTAACTTACTAGGTGAAGTACCATTACTGTCGGTTTCACTATGTACTGCCAGTTTTGATATCTTAACTTCAAGCCCCCTAATAATGGAAAATAATTCTGCGATTTTATCTTCACAACAAGGTGTAGAACAAGAAAGTGGATTAATGCTAGGAGTCAAAATGTTTGCCGTGTAATTCATTTCGCAAGACGTTTTGCAGGTGTCTGCGAGGCCTGGATCATTGCATGTAGTATCACTATGTATACCATCCATGATGTTGTTTAATACGCAAGCAGGTAAGGGGAATTCAACGTCCGGACTTAACGTATCTACTGCAGCAGACATGTGTTTATTTGTTAAATCACTGGATGTAGTCTTCACACTTCCTGCAGGCCTATTCATTCTATTCGGTTTGTGTTTTTTACTGGGATTTGAAGCAGACAGTGGAGTTTGACGCTTAGTTTCAACCATAGGCATTTAGAAAAGAGTTAAACTTCTTAAATATAAGAGAATGAGCAAAGTGTCTGTAAGGTCCTTTTTAGGGTGTTGGAGATTTAGATTGTTTAGTTCGGTACGCAATTAGCAGTTTATGTGGATAAAAATACTGGAATATAGTATGAAGACACGCTTAACAAATACTATAAATGCAAAGATGCGATAACAGAAGCACTTAAGTAGACACTAGCTATAATGGACAATTACAGCCGGAAAAGTTATCTTTAATGAAAAAATAGGACTAAATATTTAGTACTATCCTCGAGAGACCTATTGAAAAGCCGCCTATAGAGTAAAAAAGAACTAAGAAATAACACGCGAAAAAGTAACAAATCCTTCGAATTGCCGCGACTTAGATCATCCCTAACAGCATTTTAGAAATATATATGTACAATAAGAAAGTAAGGAAATCAGAGATTTGCAGTCTACCTTCTAGATTTTGGTTTTAAACATATGAAACGAAGGGGCAATATGAAATAGCACGAGAAGAGAAAAATACATAAAGGTACACAGCTATGTTTATATATGCATAAAAAGAGGCAGTAGTTAGCTATAATAGATGGTTCAGAAGAATACGACTACAAAGGATTATAATAACAGAACCGTAAAATAAAATCCGCTAATATTTAAGACTCACAGTGTTCTTAAGCTGATTTTTTAGACGATACTGCATAGGGTTGGAATTTGCGTAGACGTAGATGGTATTTATTCACAACATTAGCTAGTCACCAGAGGAGATTTTAGTACCAGCCACATCCAGGTTGTTTACAACTCAACCTTGAGGTAGAACTTCTACCACACTGAACTGCCCAAAATACAGTATTGCCAGGGATATTCACAATAATATTTGATTAATATGACAGTCAGCAACTGGGATTAAATGGAGTTGAATGACTGAAAAGGTATGACATAAGGTGTGAGGGTAGTTCATATAAATTCAGTGCAGCTTTCATGGTATGTCAGGCTGTGTATTCTACTCCAGGTTTGTATGAAAGGATTGTGCATATTTTGTGATGATGCTTGCTAGACAAATAATTGAATCAACTAAAAAAGAAGGAACTGAGAACAGCATTAGTGCAACGTTGATTATTTTAAATGTGTCCGATAATACTGACCGTTTCTGTTAATGCTTTGGGTGAACAAAGCTGTTTAGGTACGTAATTCAAAGGGGAAAGAAACAATATCACGAATTTTCAGTATGTGGCAAACTGTTTCGAGACCGTTTTCAGAGAAATATTTATTTACTAGATAGGTGAATCGTTGTATTGTGGAGCTATTTTTGATTTCACTTGGCAAGAAGTTCCACGTTTGCCTATATTTGACTGTAAAGAAGTTGGAACGTGATTTCGTTCGACAAAGAATATGACTTAGAGAAGACCCATTGCTGCGTAGTTCATACGTCGAAGTAAAGTTAAGGTTATTATTGGGGAAGTATACTATTCCTTTGAGGATTTTAAATAGGAGAATGAGGTTAAGTCGGTGGCGCCTGAACTAAAGGGGTTCGATCTTAAGAGTTGTGCAACGATAGTTGTAGGGAACTTTCAGACTTGTTCCTAGGATTCTACTTGTAAATCTCCTTTGAACACTTTCAATCTTTAGTTTGTCCTTAACAGAGGTGCTGTCTAGGATAAATGGACAGTACTCGAGGGGCCGTATGTGTGTTTTATAATGTAACATTTTAGATTCTTGTGTTTGAAAGTTATGAAATATAAATCCAAGTAATCTTCTGGCTTTAGAAACTTGGTTGGTGACATAGAGAGAGAATTTAAAGTCAGCGGAGTAACGAAGCCCAAGGTCAAGTACAGAAGGAAATTTTTCAATTTGACGTTGGGCATGACTTTCTAAGTATCTGATGTAAATAGGAAGAAACTTTTTCTCCTTGAGTTATCTTATCAGAACAAAATTTAAAAGAAAAATGTCAACTGTATATGTGGATCGTGGAATGGCATGGTGTACAGTCGTTGGTGGTTTCGTTGCCAACGTGCTTTTGGGTGGCCTGGGGAAATCCTACAGTCTAGTTATGGAAGCCTTTGAAGAAGTATTTGAGAGTGGATCCGCCTACTTATTTCTTGCCGGTGGTTTAATCTATACCTTGATGTATTGTTTATCTCTGGTTAATTATCATCTTTCTAAACGGTACGGAAGTCGAGCTGTTGTGGCTGTGGGTGCTTTTGGTTCGTGTATCAGTTTGCTAATTGCTGCCTGTTCACCGAATCTTGCAATATGGGTAGTTGCTGTCGGTTTTGGAGTAGGTGCATCACTGTCATGTATATACTTTACTGTATTCTCTGTTGTCGGTTGCTGTTTTAAACGATATTTGGGCCTGGCGAATGGGATTAGTGTGGCTGGTGTTAGTGTTGGTCAAATGGTGTTCCCCACACTGATTACCCATTTGAATGTAACATATGGAGCTAGAGGTGGCGCAGTTGTTATGGCAGCTATCTGTTTACATTTACTTGTGACTGCCGCATTAATGCCACGGTATATCATTGATCCAGATGCCCCCCCTACCGGCGGAAGTCAGTAGTAGTAATAATAATAATAGTAAAACAAGTAAAAATAATAATTCACATAAAAAGGCGAAATCGAAAGAAGGCAAACAGCTGTTATCTGTTATGGATTCGTTGAATAATTCACAAGATGGTAAAGACGATGGTGTTGGTGGCAAGGACTCAACACTGAATAGCCCGGTGGATGAGTTTTTCTCAAAGTTAGATGATCAAAGAGATGTTATTCATTCAGGGAAGAATATTGGTTTGTCAGTCGATGTTTTATCGACATCCTCATTGTCAAGAGCCTCTACTTCTTCTGTACTATCGTTAACAACTCGTAATGGAAAACGGCTAACACGTGCATTATTGATTGTATATATAGTGGCTAAAGCGTTTGGGGATGTTGGCGATGTGAGCGTATCGTTCATCGCGCCTGTGTTTGGAACGGAATTAGTGCTAAGTTCTACAACAATCAATCGGGCTATTGCACTGTCTGGTGTCGGAGATCTCATTACACGTCTTGGTGTGGGATGGCTAACCGATAGAACAATTTGTATTGGCCGACGAGGATTATTGTTGGGTGTTACTTGGTTAGTTGAAGGGTTGAATGCTTTCGCATTCTCACAGCTACATCTCTTGTCGGGAAAATATCATGCAAACAGTCCACAGAATGATGATTCGGTGACAATTAAACTGCTGTACTACCTTTGCTTCACTAACCACAGGATATGTAGTGGTACAGCTATGACACAAATGGTTGTTGTACTGACAGATTGGGTTGGTTCTGGCCAGTTGGCACGTTCGCTCGCCATCACAATGGTCATTCTGGGATTAGTCATCTCTCCAGGACAATTCCTTATGGGTGTAATCGCTGATTTCTCTGGTTCCTATGTTTGGTCATTGTATGTCTGTGGTGTCATCCTCCTGTCTGCCGGTTTCATTCTTCTTATGGAATTCCCTGTTCGTCGGCTGTATCCAGTCAGCCATGTTGGCTTGAATACGAACACCAACAATAATAATATTAATAATAATAAGAGTAGTAAGCTGTGCATCACTGTCGAAGATGATATCGAAGGTGGTGATCTTGGCAACGGATTAATCATCAATGGTCACTGCGGGGATCCGATCGTCGGTAAGAACTCCGAATTGTTTTTCCGTACAGCACCACCAAATGATGACACAAAATGGGGAATTATAGATTCTGATATGGAGAACAATGTGAACAATACTACAGAGCTTTTGAACACCTCAAAAAATCGATTGAATCGCTCATGATCGATCGATAGATGGATACCTCACATGCTATCACTGTCGTCGCTTTTTGTCTACAGTCATAGCGATGAGAACCTGGGACGAAAAGAGATGCACACTGATGCCTTTGTGTGTTCTTTTTGTTTTCTGTTCCTTTCTTTGTGCTCCATTCTCCTTCACCCCTTTCTTCTGCTTTCTGAGCCCCCCCGCCTCTGGCCGTCCACACGTGTTTATCTAGTTGTTTATTTTCTTGCGCTTGTACTTTTCGTTTTACTTATTTAACATTTTAACGTCTGACAGTTTAATTGCCCTCCCCTGCGCCCAATTTTTCATTTCGTTTCTTATTATTCTTTATTTCCATAAGTCCCGCCCACGCAGCCTGCTTTCCTCCTCCCCCTCCTTTTTGTATTACCCAATCAGCCAGCCAGCCAACCAATCATCATTAAGGGAGGAAAATGTGCGGAGGCTAATGGCGTGGATGGCGGTAAAAATGAATTCATGTACCTTCTTGATTTGTGTTTTTTATTTGATTCTTGCTGCTTTCTCAATGGTTGTACAATTAATTGTATGTAGATTATATATTTATATACATATATTTTTCGTCAGTGAAATCGGCCTCAAGTTTTGCTGTGAGTGTTCATGCTTTCTCCTCCTGGTAACATATTATACAGCTGTATTTAGTATATTCCATAATAATAACATTAATAGGCATATTCTCTCTCATTTTTTGTTTTTGTTTAATTTTTTAAAATTTCTTTTAATATATTTTGGGATTCTTTTTCTCTTTTATTTTTTTCTTTTGTTATAATAAATTACGTATATATTCTGTCTGTAGAACATCAGGGTAAATTTATTTCTTTCTAACTAACCTTTCTCTCCTCGTATGATTGTCAATGAATTCCCCTACCCACCTACCTACGAACATCGCCGCCATCTCATGGTGATGACTATTTCTTCGACTGGAGATCTACAACTACTACCACTGGTGACCGTCTGTAGTGTGCTCCCTTCCAAACCCTCTGCATTAGTAAAGGAGTTGGGTAATCTCATGTGCGTGTTCTTGTCGCTGTTCATTGCGTCGGTGGATAGGTGGGTACACTTACTTGGTTTAGTTCCTTTAGGCTTCCATCTTTTCGAGTTCTGTCTTTTCCGATTGTTTTCCGGTGATGTTTCTTCTAATTTCTAGTTGTTCAATTACAAACACACACACCTTGTCTATCTCTGTTTAGCCTTTATGTATTTTTTAGTATGTTACCTGTAATTGTTATTGATTCAGTGATGATAAAAAAATAATAATATAGTGATAGGCTTGTCGTACACAGTTATGTGTGGTGTGATACTTGTTGTTATTGTATTTCTTATATTTATAATTCTCTCAATTTTTTCGTTTTGTTTATTTTATTTTTCATAACTGTGGACATAATTTTAAGCTGTATTATGACTGTTAACTTTTTATTTCACCTCACTGTACCATATCAACAGAACATTAGACCCAACTATCCATAACATGCTAAAGTTTCCAAACTGAATCGACAATACCGTTTGAAACAAACTCACTGTTATTAGTATTTATTATTATTATATCTAATAATTATATCGTTAATGTGGACAAATTCCTCCGATTAATTTTTGTTTTAATTTTTAATTTTATATACACTTTGAGTAAATCAGATGCAATATTGTGATAAATGCTGAGAATTCCATTCTGTATTATAAGTACTGTTTTTGGAATAAAGTAAATTATTATTATTACGTAAGCGAGCTGGGCATAACAGTCCACACTTCTCCACGTTGATCCGCATCATCCACGACTTACACCATGTCTCAATATTATCAATATCCGATTGGATTTTATGAGACAGATTTTTCACTTCTTGGGTGGTACTGTGGTAGACTAACTTCAAGTCGTCGGCATATAAGAAAGGTCTGCCGTGCTTTATAACATCACAGACGTCATTTAGGTATATTAGAAAGAAGAGAGGTCCTAGTACACTACCTTGAATCACGCCACCTGATATAGGAGTGGTACTAGAAAAAGTGTCGTTAATCTTAACAGACTGGGACCGACCACCCACAAATGAATTTCACCACTGTAAGAGATTGCCAGATATACCGTAAGCCTTAAGTTTTCGCAGGAGTAAATTATGACAAACTTTATCGAAGGCCTTCTTAAGATCAATATACAAAATGAGCACAACGAATTTTTGGTCTGTAAGTCCAGTTATAAAATCGAATAGTTCTAAATGGCAAGTCATACATGACCTGGACTTTATAAAGCCATGCTGAGAAGGTTTTATGAGGTTTTCAGTCAATAGGAAGTCAGTGATTTTGGAACTGATTATCTTCTCAAGTATCCTTGACAAGACAGACGTTATATTGATCGGCCTGTAATTCTTTACATTATATTTTGAGCCGGATTTAAATCTAGGAATAATATATATCTGCTTCCATTCGGAAGGATAAACTCCATTCACAAGGGACGTTGAGAACATCTTAAGCAAAATGAGAGGGAGATCAGAGCCACCATTTTTTAGGAAGGATGAGGAAATGGAGTCAGGTCCAGGAGTATTGGAGAATTTCCAATTGAATGTCGTCATCTGGAAACACCAGCTCCGGTGGCTTGAACATGTGCTGCGAATGTCATCCCAGAGGCTTCCGTACAGGTCTCTGTTCGCTAGCCCTGGGACGGGATGGAAAAGGCGGAGGGGTGGTCAGTCCATGACGTGGCATCGTGGGATGAAGGATATTTGTGCTAGATTAGCATCGGTTGGTGTGTCACGACTCCCTGGTTGGGGTCCGCGAGATAGCTCGAATCGATGGCTCGAAACGTTATCGGATATGGCCAAGAATCGTAATCAATGGCGAACGTGTTGCAATTTCCTTCTTTCTTCCCTTCCTGATGATAGTTAACGAATACTGTTTGAACTTGTTAAACATGACTGTTTTCCTTCCTGATGAAGTTCTTTATTCGTTTTCTACCTATTTTTTACTTTTAATCTATGTTGTTTTATTATTATTGTAGGGCGCATCTTTCTTGGTGCCATATTGTACCAAGTTTTTCTGCGTTTAAATAAATAAATAAATTGGAGAATTTCAATGAACTGATTGCACTATTTATAACATCAACATTCAAGCATATATTTGACAGTGTTTCTTCTGTTACAGAGTCAAATTCGATGCATGCGGAAATATCGTGCGTGTATGAGTCAGAAAAGTGCTTGTTAAAGAGTTCAGCTATGCCCGCATCATCCTTAACAGCAACATTATTATGAAAAATGTAAGGAATGTTGCCTTGTTTTTGTTGCAGTCTTTTTTGGAAGAGTTTACATAGAGAGCTAATTTTGCAACTACTTGTAAGGGCGACGAGTTCTTCTTTGTAAATTTTACTGACATTATCTGATCTGATTTTATCATGAGCGAGGAGAAGTCCATAGATTTATTATAGGTTTTACGGAGTCTTCTTAGCTTGTTCTTAGTAGCATTCGGTATATATAGTTGATTTACACGGTTGCCTTTGGATGTATACCAGGGGATAGATTCGTTGAAGCAAACTGATATGTTGGAGTAGAAACTGTCAAGGACAGTATAAATGTCTATCGAGGAGAAATAGGTATCCCAGTCTTGGCAACGAATAAAAGACCGCGTTGTTTCCCACTTAGCCTTTGAAAAGTCCCTGACTTTTACTGCCCGACGACGGCCTTTGCCTGACCCATTTGCTGCTAGGTTAAAGGTGGAAATGACCATGTTGTGGTCGCTACCAGGGAATAAAGGCCCAACTCGAGTGCTGACGGGGAGGATGTTGTGTGTGAAGATTAGATCCAAGATGTTGGATTTACGTGTGGGGTGATTCACATTTTGTGTCCATCCATAGAATTCAACCGAATTTATAAAACGATCGGTGTATTTAGGAACATTTAGCCTATTCCACTGGATACCAGGCATGTTAAAGTCGCCAGCTATTATTTTATAGTCAAAGTTAAGAGAGGAGACGTGTTCGAAAATTTCACACAAATGGTTCGTTGTGTTGGTATCAGAATTGGGCGTGCGGTATAAACATTCCAATAAAAGTTTTGTATTTAAGTTAGTGTTGAGTGTAACCCATACTGCGTCTGTAAGTGAGCAACCCAAATCATCAACTTCTACAGCGTGGAATTTGTTGCTAACAAAGATAAGACAACCACCACCACGTCCTTCTTCTCTGCCATGTCTAAAGTGTGCGTATCCTGGTGATTCTAACAGTCTGTCATTGAAGTCAGATGGTAACCAGGTCTCAGTAACTAACAGTACTGAGGGCATACAAAGTGAAAGTAAGAAGTGAAGGTACGGAATTTTACTGCAGATAGAACGAGCGTTTATAAGGAAAAGAGTAAATGATCTTTGATCAGTGGTAAGGGCTGAGGCAAAGTGAAGGAGATGATGATGTGATTCAGCTGAGGTTAAATGAAAATTAGATGACAGTCTGACCGGAACATCGAGTGTTCGGTCCATAAAGCCTTCATCGTTTTCGTTAAGGTTATGTGAAAAAGAAGATGGTTTCCATGGTTGATCGCTTGGTTCACGATCGCATGGAGATAGGCGTACGGGAACTGGGGTATCCTGGGTGTCTGAAAAGGGCACATTTGAGAGTAAGGAAACAGAATGTTTGACATCAGGTTGATTGGTGGCATTACTGTCGGGTGTGGAAAAGAGAAAAAATGGTGAGGGGATTGATTAGTTGGAAAGTTGTAAAGACGGTTTTGGTGTCGGGGGACTGTGTTTCTGGGGTAGTAGCATTTACTGGGTGGTTCCCCAAGCAGGCTATGCTAAAAGTTTAGGCGACTGAGTCCATGTGGCTGTGCACCAGGAATATGGGCATAGTTAAATTCGGTATTACGCAACCTCATAGTAGAAGTTGGGTAGGTGCAACTATTTGTATCAAAATGGTGAGGAAAAGAGAATGGGAAAGGTTGACTAATGTCAGTTCTATTTGATACCATAGACGTCCTTTTAGGAGATTTAAGCGCATGAGTAATAGGAGATGCTGA